TGGTCTGAGCAGCTGAGAGTGGTAAACACCCAAAGCCTGGTTTTGTGGGTGGCCTGTCTGAGCACTCAGAACTGTTACAGTTCCCAGACGTTCTCTTGTCCCAGACGAATACCATGTCCTTTTCTCACTAAACTGCAGAGGTTACAGCTCAAGTGTACTGAACAAATGCAGCCAACTTGGTATCAATCACATCAAATTGCTGAAGTATCGAACACTACACAGTGAGTAAAATATATGGTTTGGAATATTATCTAAAAACTGAGACAGAAGGAAGCACAACAGAGTTGTGATAGCTTAAAATTGCCATTTTCTCTGAATGAAGCAGAGACTCACAACCACGTGGGACAGCCTTTTACATTTGGTGACATGCCAGTATCTCTAGCACTGCTCTCCACCTCCACCAAAATATTGTTTTTAGGAATAAGTGAAGTTAAAATAAATATAAGATTTGGACATTTCTGCATTGTAAATTAAACTAAGCTTTACATAAAAGTTAATGGAAAAGAAAAAAACCTTTCAAAGAAGCTGGTTTGTCATCACAACTAATAGCTTTACCAAGTGTCTGAAGCTTAGACAATACTGCAATCAGAGTGAGGATTTTCTCTTTCCTGCTCAGTTACAGTTTGAAAATACATAGGCTTTACCAACAATAATAATGCTCTTTCACACAACTGTGTCAGAGCTCTTCATAAACACTAATTCCCTAAGCCTTGGTTTATTCTGCCTCCGAGTGATGTAATTACCATTACCCGTTTTTATTTATAGGCCATATTTTGCTAGGGCTGCCTGCCTCCCAAATCCGAGCACAGTGTGTTTTACATTGCGTTTGGGTAAGGTACTGAAAACATCCTCCATTTTATAGCTGAGAACTGAGACAAATGACATAATTCACAAGGATTGGCATCTTCTGGCATTCAGTCCTGTATCTCAGCGCTCTTCTGATAACTCAATGACAAAAAGTATTCTACCTTAACAGGTGTTGACTTTAAGAAACACTAGATTCTTTTACCCAGTATTGATGAGGTCTACCACGTTGGGTCTGGCTCTTGCTTTATTTGAGAATTTTCTTCTGTTTCTGTAATATCTGTTGAGAAAAGCAGTAATGAATAAAGAAAAAAAGGAAACTTCCCAACCAATTCTATTGTTATTGTTGTACTTAAGTAAAAAAACTATGAAAGTATGAAAAGCATTGATTTATCTTTTTAAACTACTGAGGCTAAATGAAAATGTATTCACAACAATCTGATTCCGCGGAAATTATGATATTCATTTCAATGTAAAGCATCCTGGGATCTTAGAGAACTCTGTTTTTTAAAGAACTAAAATCAGTGTTAGAAGTGTATGAAACTGGAAAGGTACTTGATAAGAGGAAACAACACATGACCAGTGGGAAGAAAGTCAGATACATGACTGGTTTGGTTGGCATGCTGCTCTTCAGTCCTTTTCCCTCCTCTCTGCCAATCCCCACCACCATTCCTTCCCTCCTTCCTTCCAGTACCTCATTGTATATGTGATGCTGGGTGAAGCTTTTCAAACACTTACAGGTGAGTCTGTAGCCCATGACTTCAAATACATCAGGCAAAAGCACCATTTCATGTTATTCAAGATGCTGTCTTCCAGAGCTAGCTCACAACATTGGCTCCTACTTGAGCTCAAGTCATGCTTTCTGGGTTATTACATTAACATTCCCAGCACAAACTCCTGTTTTCACAGCACTATTTCCCAGAGTTCTTTTTCATCTGTAGGACTCCTTCTCAACTAGACAGTGATTTTGCGTTATTGTATTTCAATCTGTCCAAAACAATTTTTGACCCTAGCTAACTTTTCTTCTTCAGTGCACAGTATCACACACTGCATTATATGTTTTAAAAAAACAAAGATAGAAGGAAACTTTATATTGTTGGCTAAAGTATTCATCATCTTTTGATAAATTTTTTCCACTTCTATGAGGCTTCATTACAAAATTTTTGCTTTTTTTTGTTCACAGGATGCTTGGAAGTAAATCAAAGAAATCTCGTGCTGGTACAGCACTGCCTATATGACCTGGGGCCTGATTTTGTCCTTTTTATAAACAGAGAATATGATGTTGAAAGGAAATTGGTTTTCCACTGAAGCTGTTTAGAAGGTTTGGGGCTAGGGTAATTCATCATTACAAAGCCAAGCCATTTCACCACATGATCATTTTATACCTTCCAGCCTAGTTCTGAAGTGATTTTGAGTTCTTTAGCAACTGGATACTTTTTCTTGAGATCATTCCTCTAGTTACTGGTCTGAGTCCAGTTTTGGATGAGAAATTCAAAACCTGCTTATCTATTTCTCCAAAACCATCACTTTGATGGTCCATAGTTAGATTTCCTCCACATGAAGGTATTCAGGGTATTGCCTTCTTCATCTAACAATTTCAATAATCCCACACAGTTTTGGCATTATAAAGACATCTGATGTTCCAACTGCGAGGTTAAAATCTGCAGCTCAGCTCTTCTGTGACTCCAACTTTTTGTCTCGATTGCTGCAATAAAATTGATCTATACTCTGAGAAAGATGTACTCATAACACTCGGCGTGAACCTGGAGCTGAGTGTGTAACAGTAGTTCTGGTTGTCCTTGTTGGATTTTTTTCAGAGCTTAAGTTCTAGAAGAACAATACTTCCCCTCCCCAACACAGTATATTCAAGGCCAACATGACATTCAAAGTTCCTGATGATGGCAATCATTCACTTGCACAAATTGTGGAAACTACTGTGCTGAATAACTAAGATGCATTGCTCAGGATATGAGCAATCCTTCAAAGCTTATATACAGTCATGACGCACCAACCAAGAACAACAGTTCATAAAACTCCTCTGTAAAATTATGTCAATAATAACTTCTACTGCAGAGTACTTTTCACAGGATGCAGCAGGATATTAAAACAGATGAAAAAATGTCCTAGCAACCAATAAAAGTCCTTTTTCTGTTTTAATTGACCTGTCTCCTTAAAAAAAAGATACAACTTCGTTCAAGATTATCTGAAATATCTGTCAATAGTAACTGAAGACAAACACTTACCTCCTACAGATACTTCCATTTGGTTTGGGTCAGCTGGCTCTTAAATGAGAAACAAAAAAATACAGTCAAATGAATACAAATATAGTTTAAACAACAAGAATCAGATAAATATCTTAGAAATTAGGTTTTCCCTGAAGAAAGTGCCTCATTTTTTCTCTTATGATCTGACTTAAACATCTTTGTCTGAGATAAAATGTGTTTTAATTTCATAATGATTTTTCCATTATCTGTGTTGATGGAGTACAGATGGACAGGTGACGGGAAAGCCATTTAGCCTTTTTATCACTGTGGTTGTGTTAATGACAGATAGACTACAGCAAGTCCACTGACCATTAGCAGCTGTTTTCATCCCTTCCATCACCTCTAAATGTAAAGAAGGGAGCTAGTAGTTTCCTTTATAATTCTTTTCACCATACAAGTGTCCCTTACTCTTAAAATGTTTACTGAATGCTTGCTTTCAGCTTCCTGGTTTCTTTGAGTAACACTTTATTCAGTCGATTGCAAAAGTCCTTTGTGCACTACACCAATTTGCAACAGACATTTTAAAAGGTCTGTGAACATTTAGAAACTATACTTGGTCAATAAGAAGTTGCTCAATCACATTTACTCTAGCTATTCATAGCACAAAGCTAAGTTCTCCATTCACACTAGGATACATGATGTGTGGGCAGTCAAGACACAGTCTAACAGGGGTTACAGAGCTGCACAGTGGGCAGAAATTCCTTCAAAACCCCATTCAAGGTTCTTACGTGTTACACGAGCAAACCTCACTTGGCTGAACTATCTGGTGCAGACGCATACACACACTTGAGTTAAGCAGACATCAATAAATGGATACTGAATTGGCTTTACAAATGGCCCATACTAATCCTTTTCAGCTCACTCATCGTCTGCAAAAATCAAATCAAGGAACACACCAATGATACAGCCTGAAGGAAGCAAAGGCTCTTTCTATTAAGTTACTAATATTTAATAGCTGTAAAGGTCACTGTTGCACACCATCTGTCAAAATGAAATGGCTCATTACAAGCAGTGCGTAGCCAGGACATGACTACTAATGTCATCTGCCAATAAGATCCAGAACTCCATACCCTACCCCTCCTGCAAGGACATGCATCATGCTCTGCATCACCTGGTAGTACTGGTGCTGCTGCTGCTGGTGGTGCTGTTGGTGGTGCTTCTGCTTCAGCTTTTTCCATCAGTTCTAAGATTAGACATGATCATTGTTTAACTTCACAATGAAAAATGGGCCACATGCAACCCAAGGGCAATCTTACTTCTTGAATATGCAAATCCTGAAACTTGTCGCATGAACAGGTTACTAACACTTGTGTTTGAGCTGCAGGTCAACAGCTTTTGTTACACAGAAAACATTCCCTATCTTGCCTGCAAGCACCAAAAATTTCTTTGAAGCTCCCACATGTTCTTCTTCTTCAGAAGAAAGCATCATACCTATAAGCAGTAAGCTCAGAGCTTTTCAATCATCTATCAATATCAGTTCATTTTCATCATCATTCATGAATGTGGATAATGCACAAACCCACGTGTTCAATGACCAATCTGCTTCTCCAGTGATGGAAGGTGATCAGTTATCTATGTTGTTCTTACTCAAAATATTAGCTACTTCAGTCCCAACACAAGTTGACAGTTATTGTTGAATAGACAACCGTTTAATAGATTCTTTCCTTTCCAATTCAGTTCTCTGGAAATGCTATTACACAATAATCTGCCTGGAAGGTTCCCTCTTACAAAGAGATCTCTTTCCCACCTAAGAAGGTGTGCCTAGGACTGGCGAGCAGGTCAGTGTGAGTTAGTAGCTATAGTATCCTCCTGAGAACACTTCATACTTGCAGTTCATAGACCTCAGCATGTTAACTGGAATATAATGGTGGCTGAATGCAAAATGACTGAATGCTGGGTCACAAAGGCTCAGGCTGGCTAAGGCCAAATTAATGACAGTAGGTTATTTAGCCTCTGAATTTCGAAGCTGACATTGGCTCAGAAAGAACATGACACAAGGGACACTAATGATAGTGTTTTGCAGCTTGTTTTTTTTTCCTTAAATAAGATCTAAAAAAACTGGCCACAATTATTTTAGGCAACTGAAAATACCAAAATCTTTTTATTTTTGAAGCCCCCAAACAATTTCATTAACAGGGCCAAACTGGCTGTGACACTTCGGGTAATTACACCCTGTGCCTCTGAACTGCTGCAGTTTCAGCAGAATGCAGAGTTTTTCCCTGGAACACGGTTGTGCAGCTACTGGAAAGTTCTTGCTTATTAACTGCTACTGTGATGGATCCAAACCTAAAACGTAGGTACTCCCCTGTATGTCTATTGCTCAGTCAGGGTCCTAAATCTCTTTGGGACTCTGCAGCTGAAAAATACAAAATCAGTGTCTTGCATTTTCACACGCATACACAACATTATGCTGTTCTGTAAATTTAGCACACTGCTCTCAAGTTCATTGCACATGCAGGTTTAGTCAGGGAATCTTAATGAGACAGACACAGACAAGAGTTATACATGGAACTTAACCACTAAGCCAAGATGTAGAAAACAAATATTGGTAAGTTACAAAAATACATTTGCCATCAGTGTCTCAAATACTTACGATTGTTAATCACAAGTCCTGGAAATGGTCTGTAAAAAAAGAAAAATAATGAAAAAAATATTACAGATGCTAAAATACACTACATGGGGTCTCCCTGCCAAAGCAACCTCACCTTCTGTAACAGTGGTCATGCTGAAAATGAACGGGAAGTCAAACAAACCAGAGGGAACCATCTCAGCAGCTGTTGGCCACCGTGGTTTGTTCACCAGCATTTACTCAATTAAACATAGGTATCAAGCAAGGTCCTTTCAGTTGGAATGCTTCATGATCAAGGGTTGAGAATTCAGACCCCTTAGTAAAATACCCAGAAGAAATGCCAATCTCTCTACACAGAAACCGAAGCCTTTAGACTCCTGTGAAGCAGTCTGTGATTTCAGAAGTTACATAAACTGATAAATTTTTAATTTCAACTCCTGAACTACTTCTAAGTATGATTCCAAAGGTTCATCTATTCTGTTTCATGCATACAAATATACTTTGTATATATATGTGTGTATATGAAAATAGACACAAATAAAATTAATTTATACTGTAACTGGTAATATTGTATTTTTAAATATTGTAGATAAACTCATTTGGTAGGGAAAAATATTTATCAAAGGGCTTATTTTAACTCAGGATTCTTAACTGGAATATTTAAAAAATAATAATGGTAATACTACTACAAACATACTATTTACTGTTAAGAGCCAACAAGCTCTGGACTTGTCTCAAAACTTGATCTTATAAATGGGAAAGCAAGGCCCACAGCACTTTAGGACTCCTATAATATATATAATATGAATAGATTTCAACTCAAAAGACAGTTAGCTGTAATAGGCAGTATTAATAATATGCCCTTTGTTATACTAAATTGGACGTGTCCTCCAAAGAGTTACCAGCTTCATTCATGCAATGAATACCTGGACTTCATTTGACCTGATACATTGTTATCCAAAAGAGCCAACATCTTCCACTACTTAAAAGTCACACTGCAACTTCTGTTCTTTCAAATCATAATTTATTCAACCTAAACTGAATAAATTTACTTAATTGAATTGGGCTGTTCTTGCAACATGTGAACAATCTCATTGATGGCAACTACATACCGAATAACAGTAAATTTGATAAACTCTGCTGATTCCAAAATCTTCCTCATGGAGCTGATTTCCAGGTAACTGGGAGCTTTAAATGCTACACCAGGAGGCATCCCATCTACCACCACACAGCCAGGGTTGATGGTGATTTTTCTGTATGGGACTTTCACTGGAAAATTCATACCAATGGCTTCACCTACATAAGAAAGGTCATGTTTATTTTCAAGTCTACGTATTTATAATTACATTGAAGGAAAAATCCACAGACAGTTAAGAACCTAAATGCAAACCCAAGCCTTCTATCAGATGAGAAGCTATGAAAATTCACATGACAGTGAATCACTTGGATTACACTCATGAACATTACCACGAGAGCGTTAGTTACAACCCAACTCTGACAACTCACCATAGAGAGAACCCAGATTCTGCTTTTACTAAAAAAAGGTATAGAAGAGGATATGCAAAGCAATAGCAACATGAAGGAAAACAAAGCACTTCCTGCCACAAAAAGCAATGTAACTCTGTACTAGTGAAGGAATTCCAGATGAAGAAACCCAGGTCATTATTGCTCTACAATGCAAATACGAAAACTACACACAGCAGAAAGATTATGCTGCATTTTTAAAATCACTCCAGTCCCAAGTATTAAGAGGTCAGGATGATGAAGCCCTAAGAGGACTCATGGATTGCCAGCAAAATAATATTTCATCCATGTTTACACGGAAACAAGCAGGAAAAGGAGGGGAGGAAGAGAAAGAAATCCATACTCTTAGGATTGTTTGTTTAAACCACCGAACAATCTATGTCACTTATAAAAGGTTCTTTTTGAAGTCAAAGCAAAACATTTATATACAGTTCTCAAATTTGTTAATGATTAGGTATTTCATCTACTGTGATGGTTCAGTAACTTCAACGTGAACAACATTAATTGTATTTACACCTACATAAAAATGGAAAGTAAGAAGCAATTACCAAATTTCCGGCTAAAAAGATCATTGACTTGCTCTCTCAATTGTCTGGCCTTTTCCACTTTTGACAGTCGCTCACTTTCATCATCTGGAAGAAATTGTTAGACCAGCATCAGAATTAAGCAATTTTATTTTTCCTCTGAAGCTTGTTTACCATTGCATGTTTACTCAAAGCAGATTTACCCAAGTGCTTCAAAATAGGCACTGACTTTTTTCCTAGTTTTAGCAGAAACACGGAATTGTAGAAATACACAAAAATAGGTGGCTGATAAGAAATCACAGACTGGTTTGGGTTGGGACCTTAAAATTCATCCGGTTCGAAGCCCCCCTGCCACAGGCAGGGACACCTTCCACTAGGCCAGGCTCCCGAAAGCCCCATCCAACTTGGCCTTAAACACTGACAGGGATGAATGTAGATTTGCTGTCTAGAAATGATTTTGTAAACTTAATCTACACCTACAAATTATATTTTATTTTCTTAGAATACATATAATGGTGGGGAAAGGTAAAAGCAAAGTGACTATTCAGTAGATGGTCACAGCGTGCAATGTTCCTCACCGTCTCTAATGAATGTGATATATGCCTGAGAAAGCAGCAATCAGTGTTAAGACAAAGCAGTTGAGTCTGCATGGTTATTCAATTCAGTCTGAGTACTGATCACTTGAAGTTGCCAAGAAAACTGCAAATCCATATTTAATTTAGTCCATGAAAAAAAAAAGGAAAAATGTGGATACTTCTTAACTAAGGGCTGGACCAAGAATATTCTAGAGATGTCAGGGAATAGATACTCCTGAGTGTTAACATCTCAGAAAAAACAGAATGCTATATTGTGCTCATTGTTGACTGTATATGTATTTCAGTGAACCAGCTTGACTGTAGGAAAACTCCACCAGACTAAACAAGTATTATGAAGAATATAAGCACAAAGTATGATGTGAGACCAGTCAGTATACACACCTGGTATAGTTACTTGAATGATGTTAAGATCTTCAACACCTGCAGCTGTGTTCACCACTGTGTTTGTTGTGGTGCTTGCTGAATTGGCTGTATTAGCTGAATTAATTTTTCCTAAAAGTAAGAGAATTCATGTAAAAAACAACCCATAGTAACAGATAACAACATGACTCAAAACATTTAACCCATGACCTGCCTGACACAACTTTCTACTGGCTATCTGCATGCCTGTTTGTGGAGCACTTGTCATTTAGATGACCTACATATTAGAAGCAAATAATTTATCTCTAGACCTGAATTACTTCTGTGGATCACACATTACTTGTTACATTTTGAAAAAAGGAAGGATATATTAGAGGCATGATTATTTTAACTTCAAAAAATGTAATACTCCCTTGCTAAAGCTGTATTTAAACTGTAACTGGTGATTTTCCCATCTTAAAAACAAACAAGCAAAAAAAAAAAGCAAAATCCAAACCCCCAATGTAGAATGAATCTTTCAGGAATTTGTTAACACCATGCAGCTCTCCTGATTCGTAGTTAATCCTTGAAAAAGTTATCTAGAATGTTAAGCAGTTGTAGAACTCACTTTGGGGGCTTCTAGCAGAACTTTCCTTAACAGCTGCCTCAAACATCTCAGGCCTGCAAACAGATTAAATATTTCATGCAAAAGAATACAATTACATTCATCAACATTAAAGAAAATGCAACTTTCTAATAGCAATTTATTAAAGACAGGAACTAAGTGATACCCTCTCAGCCAAAGAGCCAAGAACGCAGTGGCTGAAGGCGCCACAACTTCTCTTGCCACTGTTTCTACACTGGCACATCTAAACCTATTCTAGACAAGAAAAGTGAATTCTTACAACCCCCAGTATATGAATCTCCACTTCTCAGCTCATAAAAACTGCCAGTAAGTTTTATGAATAACCCATAACTGCTCCACACAGCAGGAACTAAAGCAGTAATACGGTAACTGAAATAGGCCAAGGAATCTGGCCTTGCTCTTCCTTCCCAAAACAGGTTGTGAGTGTCTTTCAGAACAAAGAACTTACTGTATCTTGCTCCACCTCTACAAGAGCTTTCTGACTATTTCCTCATTTTCTAAAAATATCCCAGTGCGTATTTCATAGAGTAATTTAGCAACTCAGCAACACAATTTCATTTTTTGGTCTACATTTCCGTTCTCATAGAATACATTACCAAAGACAGACGGGAGTCTTACTTTTTAATAATGAATTTTATCTTAGATTTGTTTCTCAGTATCTTCTCTAGCCTTGGAATTCCAAAAGTAGAAGGTCGGCGGAATGGCACCCCCTCAGGTAGTCCTTCTACATAGAAAACCTCCGGGAAGGATTCAAACAATGCAAATGGCACCTTCACTGGTTCAGTCAGCCCCAAAGCTTCCCCTGAAATACAGCAGAGCAGTAAGCGACCAGTGAGATAACTGATGTGTATACAAAAAAGAAAACCTCAGGTATAAACAATATGTAATAGTTGGCACATACATGACAGATTATGCCTTTTTTGGTGACAGCTATGAGTAGGCAGGAATAAAATTAACAGTCTTAAACATAATTCATTCTGTTGCAGTAAATCTGATCAGAATTTGCAGTTGCAAATGAATTATTTATACCCAGCTCACGCCACTGGCTTGGTCTGTATGCAAGACTGTGCCATTTGTACTCCACTTTGTTAAGGGCAATGCATTGTCTCCATCTCTTCTAGAGAATAGCACCAAGGCCAGGTGAGATTAGTGCTCTTGTCCTAAAATCCCCACTCAGAAGAATAATGAGAAGTCAATACTTCCAAAAGTGATTAGCTTTCAAACAGCTTGCACTAGAAGCAGCACTGGGATATGCTAGAGCATGTCTCTCGAGATACCATCCATAACATATCGAGTCATGCTGAGGCTGAAGTCATACAAAGCCCCCACTCATAAGCAGAATGAAGAAAGCTTGAAAAGATATTCCAGGATGTGGAGTCGCTATGTCTCTGGATCATTAAAGAAGTAGTAATCCAACTACTACCACTTCTCCATTTCCAAACCCAAATAAAGTAAGTAATGGAAATGTTACACAGAATTGCAAGCAACCTACATGAGAATGAACTTCGGTAAGAAATTGCCGACAGTATGCAAGGATTGCAGGACCTTTGGAATAAACATGTGGACATCTCTCTCATGCATCTAACTGCCTGTTCATAAGAAAGACATCTCAGTAAAAAGGAATCAATAAACTTACCACATTTTTCATTAAAAAGATTTTCAACTTTCTGCTTTAAGTCAGTAATTTTGGCATTCCACGCCTCTGCCAGGAGGAAATTGGAAGAATTAAATCAACACACACACATTGCATTGGTCCTTGAAGAACATTTTAATAAATGTTTAATAAATTTTTATGCTTGACAACTTATTTACTATGACAGTAAAATGTGCAAAGTGGCTTTCATTCTGCAAACAACACTGAAACATTCTGCTGCAGTCTAAACCTATATCCACATCAGTCCTCATTTTCCTGAAGCTTTGAAGATACTACTACTAGATAAAGCAAAGGTGATAAAAAAACCTGAAATTAATCCAAGGGTGATCCAAATTTACAGTATCAGGCAGCATAAAATTTACTCATCTGAACCAGCGCCCAAAATAGTGGCAGAAAGTTCTTCACATGCTCAGTGACACAGCCCAGAAACATGCCTCTCTCCTAAGAACTACAAACTCTAGCATAGTTTCACCTGCAGCGAGTAAGATTAAGTGTCCATCTAGCTACAAATTTTGTTTCTGACAGCAATCAGCATCAATTCCTAAACCACTTTACTTGTGGCTGCAATAAGTGGTCTGTAGCTGGTCTACAAAAAACTCAGCTGAGATTTTAAATAGTTGCAGACTTCTTGTTTTCTGAAAGACTATGTCTAACAATAACAAGCAAGTCTAAGAACTCTGAATACAAATACTGCCCATGCCAAAAGGAGGAGTCGCATCAAATCATGTCTTACATTCATTCTAAACTCCTACTCAGTAGGAGTAAAAAATTCCTTTGATTCATGTTTTATGACCATGGGGCTAAAAAAAGCACGCAAATACAATAAATCAAATACAACAAACTCCTATGTAAGTATGAACACAACTATATGACTTCCAGTCCTGTCTGGCTTTTCCTATACTGATTTTCCAGAATTGGAGAGGCCTATAATGGTGATTGTGCAAAATCAGCTTATTAAGCTCATGCACAATATCAGATCTCAGCTGGGTTTACACGCTGTGGTGGTACTGTGCACCAGAAAAGTCCTCCAAGGATCTGCAGCACTGCAATAACAGAGCAGAAGCAGAAAGGGACTGATTCTGAACCTACATTAGTAAGAGCAATGGACTAGCACTTCATTTGCACAGCATTCTCCATACAGCATCCAGGATTTCTCCGATGCAGATTATTCTACATGACAAAGACCTGAATTTATATGAAAACAAGAACTTCAGTCATTCACTAACTGTAGAACAAAACATGAATTCAAATCTCTCTCATAAGTAATCACCAGAAAGTTCAATACCAACATTAACAGAATGCATGTGTGCTAATTCCCACAATATCTACCGAAAGAAAACTCTCTTCCTCGTGGCTTTGAAGTCATATTGGACCCATTGGTTTGAGAACTGGTTCGAACATCGGTTGTTTGTGGTTTATTAGGACCTGTAAAAAGACATTACAGATATTCAGACAGAGAGCAGAAGCAAGCCGTCATATGAAAAGAACTTGATTTCTAGAGAAAACTTCTGAATCAAGAGTAGAATAAACAACCCCTTAAAAAGTTCTTCTAGGGTTGCATATAAGCATTTGACACTCCTCATCATGTCTGCCATTTCTCTGCTTAGGACTACATCAGTCCCACATCTCTGCTTGGAATAGAAGGCCCAAGCAAGCTGTCAAACTCCAACATTTTACATAACTATCATCTACACAATTATTCAGAAATGAAAAATAAAACTGTTTCTATATTAAAATAGATCTGCAGCCATGAAATAAAACTGCATTTGCTACATGAGGTGCATATTTACATTAATGATGGGCTTTGAAAACTGAGAACAACAGAAAACACTAGAAGAATGTTAGAAGAAGATTTAATGATACTTCTTCCATACCTTCATCAACAGTAACTTCAATCTCTGGAATGGTTGAGTTGAGTCCTGCAGGACTTTGTGATCTCTTTGAACTCTTTGGACTCATTGCTGGAAACCAACATAAGATAAGGTGTAATGTACAAACCCTCTATAATGCATATCCTGCACCACTAATGAAAAAGCAGCTGGATTCCGCAAACTCCAGCAGACTGAAGAATTGCTTGTGCCTGTACTAAGTACAGTTTGCATTGTAAATCCTGAACAACACAGAGACACTTCACAGCCTTAAAAATGAAGCTTAGTACTCTTGAAAAAGGCAGGTATCACCCCTGAACTTTCACTCCACTAACTCAGAACAGAAGACTTCGTTGTTTCTAAGTGTGAGGGACAGCTTTGGAACTTTTTATTATCTAAATAACAAAACTGTTAACTTCTGAATCTTTTATGGACAACTTAAGAGCTTCTTTCTTATTCTTACAAAACTTCATTGCTACTTACTTCAGTTCACAGCTCTAAATTACATATGGTTTAGGCCATTAACAGCAAAATGAAGGTTGTTGAAATTGAGTAAATTCCATTTTCTGTATTGGAATAGTCTTAACTAAAAAAAGTAGATTAAATTTGTTTTGCATAACTTTTTAAATAACAGCAGGTTTAGAGGCTACTATGTTAGATCATCTTAAACAATGCCTTTTGTTTGCAACACCCCTTTTCGAAGACCTCTCAGTCTGCTAAGGAAGAGGAAAATACGCATTTGTGAATTGATAGCAGCAAATAATACTTAATTGTTTACCTTTAGTGTTTATTTTACTAGCCAGTCCTGGAGGTAAATAGGAGCTGATGAGCTCAGGCCTAAAAGTTGAACAGAACACGATCCAATCAATTACACATGCACAAAAAAATCACACAGCAAAATGCTACGTATTTCTTGGAATTCAGTTGAGCTCCAATTTGCATAACATCAGCTCTCCAAAATGAAATTCTGCTAGAAGCATGGGTGAATCTCCATTTACTATAACCACAAAAAGTTTGATAACATAAAGCTACATTTTATACCCTGTAATTTTCTTCTGGGTTTATTTGAAGGAAAAAAAAAATTTAAAAAAAAAGAAGGAAAAAAGCCTCCAGGAACAAGGCCATTTACTCCCTAGATCCTTCCTGCATGAATTTTGCAACTTATACATCTATATAAATTTATTAAGGACAGTATATCCTTTCATGAGATAAATTACATGCAAAATGTTCTTTCTGTTTCATGGAAACAGAATTTAGGTAACATTTAAAGCCTAAAGTTGCTGGGAAGCAAATCAAGTAACTTCAAAATCAGGAGTAAAAATAACTGAATTACAAACATACTTTTTAACAACAAATTTGATTTTGCCACTCCCACGGACAATTCTTTCAAGGCGTGGAATTCCAAACCATGTGGGACTCCGGAAGGGGATTCCTTCTGGCAAGCCTTCGACGTACAAGTACTCAGGGTTTGATTCAAATACAGGATAGGGAACTTTCACTGCCTCTGAAAGCCCCAGAGCTTGGGCTGAAAATAAGAGATTTAATGAGAGTTTACACACTCAAATGGGTGGTGTTCTATCTCAAGTGATTTTAAGAAGCTTGGCTTACAGAAGCTCTGCTACTCAGATAATAAAAAAACAAAAAAACAACAAACCCAAGAGAAATATTTAATCAGATTTTCTATTATTTTCTGTAGAATATCTGCAAATGGGGACTTGGTTCATCTTGTTACAGGTAACACCTAAGCCTGCAGTGCCTAATATTTTCTTCTGAGAACTTTCTTAGGCCTAGGATGTTGTAATAAAGTCATTTATGTCAGTTATAGGGAAGAGTCTGTAAAAAATAGGTAAGAGGAGTCAAGAGTTCCGTATCTGTCCTAGTACATTTCTGATGTTTAAATAAGTACAGTAAAATTAAAACCTCTTTTTACGGAAGAGTTTTAAAATGCAGCAGAATTATAAAACAGTTCATTTAACATTTAACTTACCAAACTTCGTATTAAATATCTCTTCTACTTGCTTTCTTAGCTTTGTGATCCTGATGTTCCAATCTTCTTTCACTGAAAACCAGATATATGTCAGAATATTACCCACTTCTAGATAAAGAGATACATTAAAACACATTTCTTTTAACACAATAACTTGTAACACTATCAACACAATCCGTCAACAAGGCCACAATAATGAAGTATGATTATTACTGACAGCTTAAATGATACATGTAATCCCCTCTACATAATGGAAAATCTGTTTAAATATAGTTTCGTATTTCAAGCATTGGCCCAAGCAGGAGAACTTGTTCTTCAGAGCCTTTAAATGCAGGAAGAAATTATTTTAGTGGCTCTTACAAAGCTGGAATTAATTCTTCATATTGCATAAGAATAACACTCTTTAGAACAGCAGATGAGGATTTCAGGAGTGCTTTGCTAAACATTTTGATTAGCATTAAAAAAATCCATTTTCACTCCTGTTCTCTATTGTAAATGAAAGCCAAGTATAAGAGTGCTAACCAGAGAAGAAAGCAAAGGATACTAGCAGCATTAAAAAGCACTTCTTTCCTGACAAACAGCATCATAGTTCATTACTTTTTCATCATAACCCACAAATAACAATTATCTGCTCCTGAGGTAAAACCAGAGTTGTGGAAAGCATGCATGAAGGAAGCTATACAGGATTTTTTTTTGTTTCCAAATCATATTTTGGACTAACAAATTACCTGACCTAGTTTATTTCTAGCTTCTAGGATTTTCAAGGCAAGATGCATTAATATTTTTTGCAATCTGGCCTACTCATGTGATAGATTTCACAGCTGCTTAACACCTGCACGTGTGTTTATACTATTCACATGTTGTGGTCTTACTGGCAAAGGAATAAGACTAATGTACTTTAAAAAATTAAAATGTTGTTCACACACTATCTACTGAGGGCACCGGATTATGACTTTGCAACAGAATAATATTTTGGTTTAGAAAAGGTCTAATATTCTTTAGCAACATGAAGTTTGTATCTGCAATAAGATCCTCAGCCTTTGCCTGGGAAAATGGTTTTCACTGGGCTCTAAGCCCAAGAGAATGTTTGCTGTGTTTGCCTGGACCCTGGTAAGCTTTGTGGGTATTGGTAATACCAGACTCACCGAGAAGTTAGTGAAAAATTCAGTGAAATAACCAGTACAAAAAGAAACATTATTCTGAACATGTAAACAGACTGAGTTTTAAGAATCATGATCCTTGCACGTCAGTTCTTTCAGAAAGAGGATTCTATTAGCTGGGTTTTTTACTGCTATCATTGACACATGCTGTTATTAATTCATTGTCAAATCTGATGATAATCAGGATTTTGGTAACAAAACCAACCAACCCCACAAAAAAAACCCCAAACCAACCCCAATGCTGCCTTCTCCTGCTCCACATTTGTGGCAAAAGCCATCCATGCTCAGAAGAGGATGTCAGGACACTCATCAAGGAAGGGTTACTTCTTGAAAACAGTTGCATTGATCCAAATGTGTTTCCCCACCAAACCCTTCCATTCCCACTTGAAGACAGCACGTCTTACCTGGGGTGTTCGACCTGGCTTGAATAACTTCAGCTGAAGTGACAGTTAGAAGCTCTGGCCTGCAACCAGAAAACAAATAATCTGCCCATTCTTGACATAAATTAAGTACCACTACCTATCCTGAAAAGAATGGAAAAGTTTGGATTTTTCTAACTACCTATCCTGAAAAGAATGTTAAAGTTTGGATTTTTCTATTATCTATTTCACACTTCTGAACATTCTACAAATATATTTTTGGAAGACTTGCCCAGATTGCATATATCCACTTTATAATGCAGAATATTTAATCTGCCTATTTGGGAACTAGAAACTGAATGCTTCATGACTTAATGAAGCCAAGTGCTTGATGACAAAAAGGAAGTTTTGCTTGGCCTCTTTGTTAAAATAAAAATCCAAACAACCGAAACAGAACAACCCCAACCACAAACATGTTCAGGCATTAAAACAAACACGTACCTTTTGATCACAAATTTTATTCTGTTGCCCACTTGAATTATTTTTTCTAGGCGAGGGATTCCATACCAAGAGGGACTCCTAAAGGGGATGTTCTCTGGCAGTCCTTCGACATAGAGGTCAGTAGGATGGGCCTCGAATTTCTGGTATGGAACAGCTTTAGGCTCAGTGCTCCCCAAGGCCTCAGCTGTTAGAACAAAATACATCAATAACTGGACAGTTTGGCCATCAACTTTTACTAAAGCTAGCTAAGCTACTGATTCCTCAGGCTTTTGTAATCATTATCTTAGAACCTGGGACAATGCAGGATATCTAACCCCAACAGTCCAAATCTCAGCACATCAAATCCATGAAAATCTACCCTATTGTATCATGTTGCTATTGGGCAGTCCCAAAACTGAAGCTGGGTTCCTCACTGGGGCATAAAGCAATGATTTTATCTGAAGGTTTTCATCTACTTTAAAGTATCATGCAAAATTTTACTCTAGCTCTTCTGAAGTTGACTTTTTTTTTTTATAGTGGAGAGAACATGAAAATTCGCCCAGAAGTTTTCTAATACTAATGGATATAAATAAGCAAATGGTTGTTTTGTTCCCCATCAAAGGAAAAACAACCGAAACAGGAAGGAATTGAGAGCAATTAGAAGAGCTGTACATATAAGACATACTTTTTTAAACTATGAATTTACCTAGGTGCATATGCAGTAAAGAAATACATTGTTCTACACTCAACTGCCAGGATTGTAAGTATTTGAAAAATCTGATCAAAAGTCTCTTTCATGTAGATGGTCAAAGGAAATAACGAAAGCAACCTTCAAGAAATACAAAGCCAGAAAAGAAAATAATAATACTGAACTCACCAAACTTTTTACAGAAGAGTTGATCTACCATCTTCCTCAGTTTGGTGATTCTGGCATACCACTCCTCTTTCACTGTATTTAAGAGTGACATAGAACAAAACCAACATTCCCTATCATTTTCAGTCATTCAGCTTTATAGCATGCACAACCACCCTGCATTTCCAGGTAACACAGAAAATACTATGCGGAAGAAATATGGATTCAACTTGGAACTAGGAAAACCTAGCTTATGCTTTTCCTGCCGTTCCTGAAGCAAACCATTACTGCTTGACTGGTTTGTCTTGGAGCCAGTATCAGTCTTCTCAGGGCTTCAGGGCTGAGGCCATTTTATAAAATCTTCCTGACAAGCCTATTTCCCACAGGTATGCAAACTACCTTTCTTCTGCCAACCAAAATACAGCTTCTGTGCTCATCCCAATTCCTCTCCTTCTCAGGACACAAGCCAGCAGGGGCTATGGACAGAGCAGGATGTTGGGCATGAAGCCACAAAGAGCTGAGAGCAGGGGCTAGTACTCCACAGCTCTCTCCTGAGATAGCAGCAGACACATGGAGCAGCAGAGCTACTGGGAAAGAGGGAATCCAAACAGGGAGAAAAGAAAACTGAGGGAAGGAGGCTCAGACAGCTCCTGTCTTCTGATCCCTATGATAGGATTAACATCTTTCACAGATGTTCTCTCAGAAATAATGCAGAGGTCACACATGAATATGCTATCATTACAAGCTAGTGAAGACAAGCAACATAGAGTGACTCTTCATAACACTGTGCCATAAAAACGAGTTACCACAAGTTCTCTTAGCTGCAAGGGCTTTACGGGATATATAGTGTACCTGCTTTGTCTTCATAATTAGTACAACCATATTAAATACAACAAAAACAATGGAGAAAAGGGCTGATTTTAAAACCTACATAAGACTCAGTCATCAGCCTACCTACTATTTCTGTAGTCAAATTTGGTGCTCGAAGGAACAGTAGTTTATTAAGACTCAAGACACTAGGTTAACTTAGACTGCAGGAAAAGTTTAATTCCTACACACATGTTAAAGTGACACCCTCGTGACATAATTTAGATCTTTAATGTTCACTTTAAGTACAGTCTTTGATACACTTTTTACAACAGAAGACTATCAGTATATAACAGAATATAATGGTGCTGCAAGTAGTGCAGATACTACCATTTATATGCTTGTGTCCTTGTCTGAACTCAGAATTTCTCTGTACTAGTAAAAATTCACAGTTCAAGCAGGCTGAGGTTGCCAGTTAGCATTGTGGCACTGGGAGCAATTTTTTTGCTACCATTGGTTCAGGCACAGAAGCTTTCAACACTTCCTTTAATTGGACAATTAAAAAACCACACTGAAGGGCAAGAAGACAGTAGAACACAACTGAAGAAAAAAAACAAGCCCAGAAAAGTAATTTACTAACAAAAGCCCATGCAAAGGCACAATTATTTCAAAACTTGATTTTTTTCTTTCTATACTGAACTTTTTCCTCCCCGGAAATGAGTTCATGGGTGCTACTCTAGAGCATGCATCTGCTGCAAAACTGGTTAGAATGCATTTTGTTTGCACTACTGTGTGAAAATGGAAAAATAAAAAGTCCCATGATCCAAGCAAGTCAGATTCTACAATAATAAATATCACTGTAGCCACTATGTTCATTACTGCATTCCAATTAAATCTAATTTCGGTAAGTACCTTATATAAGCAACTATTCCATCATACAGTTTCCTACCCAGTAAACTATCAAATTTGCATTTTCTCTATATCTCAACAGACTAATACTTAGCTCATTGTTTTTCCTTCTGGCCAGTTGAATCAAATCAGTTGATAAAAGTGTTAGTAACCACTGGCTTGGACAGTCAGGGGAAAATTGCTGTCACTTGGTAGCTAAAGAAGATGCAAAACAAGAGGAACTACTTGCAATGTGTTATTAGTAAAAGTAAATGGCAGCCACTACTATGACAGCGAAAACTATAGACACCACTATGAAGATGAGTAACAGGAAATCACACTGTACTTGTACAACTCACACATACCTCCTGCAACTGGTTTGTCCAATGGCACATCTTCTTGTGTTGAATTCAAAAGCTCATGCCTAGAAGATGAAAGATAAGTGCTTCACAGTGACATACACTTTGATAAACCAGAAGTTACAGCCTCAAGTTACCACTGAAGAATCAGAAAACCAAAACAAAACAGGGGACATCAAGATCCCCAACATTAAATTCCAGTTAACACCAGAGTGTTCTAGAGTTGGCTGAAACCCTATTGACAAAAATACTTTTCATGCCCATTGCCATATTCACCTGAGTCATAACATTTCATGTTAACATACAGATGACATTAAAACTATCTCTTAAGTCTGAGATGCACTTCATTAGAAACAAAGAGCAAAACAAAAATTTAACCTTTAAAAATTAAAATCTCAAGGCAGACATTTCTGTTTCCCAAATACGTCGAGTTCTACCTATACGAAAAACACAAAAATCTAAAAATTCTGACATTTCTCACTGAGCTGAACTGTTTTTTGAGCTGCTCTGGTTACCACACATTACAAAAACCATGAACAGCATAAATTAATTACTGTTAACAACTAAGACAAATTTGACAAAAGCAAGTGCCAACACTGCATGAATATAAAAAACTACTCAAAATGTCCAATTTTAAGTGAGACAAAAGGTAGATCTACTCTCCATCTCTTCTGGTTATCTGTAGGCATTAGGATGACATATAGATGAACATACACGTTTTGAGAAGTTAGCATCTGTGGTAAAGACAGCATGCACAGAGACATGAGCCTGACCACTGCAATCAGCACATTGCTATCCACTTTGAAAACACTTGGCTACACCACTGAACAATAGTAAAATGTCAGCTGTTAGTCACAGAAGCTTCATTTAAGCTGTAAATGAAGCTTCTGTGGTGTGAAACATCACAACTGTCTGAAATGAAGCACAAAACTGTCAAAGGTACATATCCACCAACTCCCAAAGCTGCGTATCAGTCTGCCACAGTCATTCCCACAGTACTGGGTCTCAAAGTGCACTGCAGCTCCAAGATCCAGCACTCAGCATCTACAGGTGCCAGCAGCTCTCCCTTCATATCTGGAATTCAGACTTGGTCCAGGCTCCCTTCCAATCCCACCTGCCTTTGCAGGAAGTAATGTTGGGGTTCTTTTAGGAAAGACACCAAAGGAAGAAAGGAGGAAAAGGCGAAGGAAGGAGGAAAAGGCGAAGGAAGGAGGAAAAGGCGAAGGAAGGTGCCCAGAGCATCTCATGTCCTCACTTTCAAGGCAGACAATACCTTGCCAGGCGAAGGAAGGAGGAAAAGGCGAAGGAAGGAGGAAAAGGCGAAGGAAGGAGGAAAAGGCGAAGGAAGGAGGAAAAGGCGAAGGAAGTATCAAAAGGCGAAGGAAGGAGGAAAAGGCGAAGGAAGGAGGAAAAGGCGAAGGAAGGAGGAAAAGGCGAAGGAAGGAGGAAAAGGCGAAGGAAGGAGGAAAAGGCGAAGGAAGGTGCCCAGAGCATCTCATGTCCTCACTTTCAAGGCAGACAATACCTTGCCAGGCTTGCTATGGCAGGCAGTGGAGCCCTCAAGAAGTTTCTACATACATCTAAGGTCTCCTCCCTTCATGTACGCTATCTGATCTACCTCCAGACACAGGATATGGATGCAACTAAATCACAGGAAGCCGTAGCTATTTTGTCCTCAAGCCAGTCCTGGGAGTTGCTATATAGATACAGCCATAGACACCTTGATACAGCATTCCAGCAAGAAAAAAATAAAAGCACAAGCTGAAATTTAAGCCAGGATCCTTGCATAGCATAAAATATCCCCAAGTCAATGGCTTTCAACATGTAACAGAGATTAAAATAGTACAAAGAGATTTGTCTATGACAAGAAGTCCATATTATTGAAGAGACCTGTCTAGATCTCAGCCACCACTCAGTTTGAAAGTTCTGGAAGATAAAACAAAGCAGAGTGGATCCAGTAGAAAACAATAAGTAATAATGAGTAATATAGGGACACAAATATGAAATTCCTTACTTTTTAATCACAAATCGGATCCGCTCCTTTGCTAGAAGTATCCTCTCAAGACGGGGAATGCCGTAGGTGGATGGCCGCCTGAAGGGAATTCCTTCTGGCAGCCCTTCCACGTACAAGTCTTCCACGTGTGACTGGAAGAGTGGGTATGGAATAGACACTGGACCTTTTGCTTTTATGGCTTGTGCTTCAAGAAAAAAGGAGAATAAAATCATTACACTAACTTGTGGCTCTACTCAAATGATCTGTTTGATATCACTCTGAAAAACATTAAAACCAGCAACAGGCAATAACTCCCTTAACACATTTAAACATGCAAGCATTCACTGAAGGGGGCTTTTGTTTTATAGCAAAATTACTCTAATTCACAGTAAACAAGTTGCAGACCTGCTTACGTATGCAGATTTGCTTTTCCTTTTACCCTGTAAACATTTAATAACAGAGACTGCATCTGCTATAGCGAAGTTTCACATTATTTTGGTTTTGTTTTTTTGAAAGATTAAGTTATCTGGACTTAATTATAAACCAAGCATGTTTCAGATCATTAGCTCTGATTATTACTATTCATTAATACTACTGGGTTACAAGAGTCATTAATGCCTTGGAGAAGGGGCACACATCCCTTCTTCTGAGTGAATTCCTATAGCTTTGGTGTATTTTACAAAGCCAAGGGATCACTAATGAAATACACAGTATACTTCTAAAGCATGGCCCTACTAATTGAAATCTTTGAAGTAAATGAAAAACAAATAAGATTTGCCCACAGCTGGAAAATAACTTCAGTGTATTTCTTCAGGTTATGAGGACTGTATCATATCAACACACCTATAAGGCTGCAAACACAGACATCATGGCTTGCAAATATCAAGAGGGCTGATTTCTTTATGCTCACAGGGGTATGTTAATTCTGCAGGCCATACAAGAACTACTCTCTATTACCATCTGACTGGTCTGCAAAGAGTTTGGTACGTTCTGTTGTTCTGCTCCAGAAATTAAATGCAAGAAACTATTTGAGGAAAGAAGAGTGAAGCGAAGGCCAATTTAAGAAAGAATACAGTGATGTTGCGGCATTTCTGAAAGTAAAACTACCCACAGGGCACCTTTTCAAGCAATTTAAGGTAATGTGAAAGCAGCCTGTGGTTCTGACAGTGGTATATACAAAATGCTTATACATTAACTCACAAATTCTTAAAAGCAATAAGACACTCTGGGTTTTAAAGGCATTTGAGTAACATACTCTTACAACCACTTGAAAGCAGAACAGTTCCTAGGCATGTTTATCACAAAACAGGGAAGCTTTGAAAATACTGCATGCATCTAAGTCTTATATTCTGATAATACTCTAAGAGGTCTGTAAAGACTCTGTGTTTCAACTAGACTTAGTTTCAACTGCCAAATACAAGATGGCCAAAACTGGAGAGAGAATCCATACATAGAGAGATGGACAGGAACCTGAAGATGACTTAGCAAATAGACTGAAGAAATCCTGTTCAAACCAGTGTCAAAGGAGCTGCAGAACAATCACTGAAAGAGCTGTTGTGTATCAGTGTATCACACCAGTCCTTCATTAAATTAGGTTTTTATTGCAGTCATAGTCCTCTTCCAAAAAATGGGGGAAAAAAAATGTTATTTTCAACCCTGGAGGCTGCTGTGTCAAGTGGTGAGAAGCATAACAAGTTCAGCAGACGAACCTCAGATGGAAATGATAGTTTGAACCACAGCCACAGGAAAAAAGATCAAGGACATCTAGATCACTACACAGCATCAAGAAAGAACAGCTTCAGAGTAACAAAAATCCTGTTTGTTTAAATAAGTGACTACATTTTTACATGTGAAAATCTTTATTTCTCTTAAATCAGCAAATGTTTTAGCAAATAGTCTTCAGACAGCCTAAGAACACGATCAGCATTGCAGTGAGGCCCCTTAGATTTAGAACCTTACATGTTTTAGAATAGAAATCTTGAATATAGCTTTCGTTTTCATAAATTAGACTATATTTGTGAGCCATACTAAAAAGTAATCCCATTTAGCTTACATCTAAACACAAAACAATCTATTTTCAGACATGTCAGTTGCAATGGATGACAGTAACTGACACTGCTCGAACACTTTGGAGCTACAGAAGCCATCAAATCCGAGCAGCATTCTAGGAATGCTGGATATCCATAACTCATTTCAGTAAACTGGAAATTGCATGCCCATACAGACAGAAAGAATCTGATACAGAATTGGTTTGTGAATCAATGAAATGTTGTCATCTACAGGGAAAAAGGGCATAACTTAAGACCATATGGCCTGTTATGGAAAGGCAGGAATAGCTCTGTATTCAACAGACTCCACAGGAGATTTTCAGGCTGGTTATATGTGAACACCAAAACCCAAATTAAAGCAATTTACCCAGAATGATGCTCCTTTCTAGAGCAATTAAAATACTGTGAATCAGATTCTAAACTGCTTTTACTTGGTGTGAATTGCTTTCAGTGGGCTGTTTACATATCAGACGCTAGTCGCACCCAAAACATGTAGTAACTCCAAATCACAAGGTCCCTTCTGACAGCAATTCCACTTTTCACAGCAGAGAAGCATCACTATTTGTTTTGAAAGTTTTGATGATACAGTTTTAGGCTGTGATATGTGGACATGAAATACATCTAGGTGCAGCATCTAGAGACAAATTCCAAAGTCTAAGACATGTGCTTGTTTTTCTGACCAGGAACCATTAGCATATGATTGTTGCTTCACTGCAGATCAATCATAACCAGAGAGAAAAAGTCAATCAGTAGTAATCCCTCCTCAGAGCCATTTTAAAAGATCATTTCACTGAAGAACTTGGTGTAAATACAGAAAAAAGGGCAGCTCTCTCAAATGTGGGTGCCCAAGACATGAGCATGCTGGAGCTCCAGGAAACCCAGCACAGCTGAAAGATAAAATAAAATTTCTCACTTAGATGCCAATTTTGAAATTACTCTGCTCATTGAAAAAGCTTCTTTCCCCAGATTTAAGACTTCTGATAATATTTAACCCTTTGGTGCTGGCAGTACCTGTGTATTCCTGAACCAACAAAAAACATGTGATTTAGGTGTCAAAGGAGTAGAGGCAATTGCTTGGAAAGGAGGGTAACTCATACCGTATTTTTTCTCAAACAGCTCTTCAACTTGCTTTCTCAACTCTGTAATTCGCGCGTTCCATTTCTCTGCAAGGAAAAGAGGACACGTCAGACTACAACCCAAACTGAGAATCTTCTGTAAAATCTATGTTACCGCCAACTGAAATAATGCAGTGTGCTTTTACTATGCACTCACACACAGGTGCCTGTGAGGGTGCTGAGGCGCTGGCACAGGGTGCCTGGAGAAGCTGTGGCTGCCCCATCCCTGGCAGTGTTCAAGGCCAGGTTGGACACAGGGGCTTGGAGCAACCTGCTCTAGTGAAAGGTCGGAACTCAGTGAGCTTCTAACCCAAACCATTCTGTGATTCTATGAGTATACTATGGGCTATACCTTAAATTATATAGATACTTTCAGAAAGAAACAGTATAGAATGAAATCTTTAAGATGAATTCCTAAACCTCTGCAGGTTCAACATCTGCATATGTTAAATCAAGTCTAAAACAACCCAACAAACCAGGCTAAGGTAACTTTCAAAAATGGTTTCTCTTCGAAAGCTCGGTCAGCAGCTCTCACTACCACCACTTACAAGGGTAAAGTCAGCTTGCAGCTGCTGTTGATAATTATCTAAATCTGGGTGCTGAAAAACCTAATTAGTGAAGCTTGATAAAGCTTAGAGACAGTATATGAAGTTGTTTTGGCGCAAATCTGTACAGCTATCTGGGTCAGGAGGCATCGTGCCATCCTCTACCTTAATCCAGTATTTCTCTTAAGTCCTGATGTTGCAAAACATCCCCATAAATCCTATTTCTGAAAGCAGTTATAGGCTGCAAAACAGAAGCTATCCAAATCCAATCGTGTGTTCCATGGAAAGCTGGATTAAACAGCAGAATTTTAGCATCTAATTTTCTGCCTGTCACAGAGAGCACATGTTTTCAAAGCCTTTTGTACTATCTCAATGCTTTTAGGAAAGTGCCACAACTCTTTTGTAGCTGGTACCAGATGCTGGCTGGCCTTTGAAGAATAAGCTAATAAGCAAGTGTACTTACACCTTATTTCTTACACCAAACACTTGAATCTAAGTAACGACAGATGTCAAAAAAAATGATGCAATTCAAGCTGTTACACTTCCAGTTGTCAAAAAATTCTTGTATCAAACAAAGGGAATTGAATTTCAAGTCTGTATTGAAAAGGGTTTAAATATTCATTCTCCAACCAACATAGACAACTTTGGTTTCCATGTTTAAGCTTATATTTTTCTAATGTAATTTCATGGATATCATGAGACAGGACAGCATGCTTCAGACGTGGGTAAGAATAAGACCTTGTTTAGAGGGGAAAGGGTGTTTTGGCATGCTGCCTTGCATCCACACATAAACTCTTCATACTAGTCACCTGGCATATCACCTATATCAATTCACCTGGTTGTATTTTGAAATAACATCCTTGGGGATAAATTGCTTTAATTGCTTCTGCCACCCTTTTTTACTGCTATTCTGCAGTGCACAGATTCTTAGCTGATAAAAAATCCTGAGCTCAATATTTTCTATTCCTGTGTCATTTCAACCTTGTGATACTTCCCCCTTTGACTACGGACATATAGCTGGATGAAGCTCTTCCTGATTGCAGCACAACCTCTGACAGTGTTTTCTGTTGACAAATGGATTTGAACATGGACTAACACCAGCTTTACCAGCAAGAGTCTGGAAAATGAGTCAGAATTTAGTGGCCTAACCCCACTTTCCTGAACAGAGCTGGCGAACACACATGGACAGCTCTGGGTCAAGGGTTTTGAAGGGCACTTGTGTGATGGTAGATTATTACCCAAAGAAAACTGTCACATAGTTGAGACCCCTTCAGTCCATCAAACTCCAAGGCAAACTCAGCAAACAATGTCCTGTGCCTTTTGATCAGGCATTGGAACAGGCTGCCCAGGGCAGTGGTGGAGTCACCGTCCCTGGAAGTGCTCACAAACCATGGAGATGAGGCCCTTAGTGACATGGTTTAGTGGTGGCTTTGGCAGTGCTGGGGGAACAGTTGGACTCGATCTTAAAGGTCTTTTCCAACCTAGCTGATTCTATGAAATGTCAGGATGGTTTTTGTCAGAGGGAGCACTGCCAAAAGCATGTCATACCACATTACAAATCAACCATATAAAAGTATATAAATAATACTGTTCTGAATAGTTGTTGCTGCAGTTTCGTTTCAGAAGGAGCTGCTCCCACACAGCCTGGTCTCCCTCTGCTTGTTAGCATGCTCACAAGAGTGTTCCTGCATGAGCCATTAAGTTGTCAAGACTTCATTTTTCTCAATTACCAAACCCCACAATCACTGGCCAAATATTCCACGTGGCTCTTTTCAAGCTGCTACTTCCATGCTGCTCTCCCTCTAATGGCAACACTACAGGGATTAAAAAAATCAAATATATCACAACACAGGCATGTTTATTTGAAACAGTAGATACACAGAAAAATGCTATTAAAAAAATCATAAACTGAATCATGTTTTGATCATCACACTAGTTTGGGGGGTTTTTTAGCTGCTTTTGTATTTCATGAGTAAATTGTCAAGGTAGACTACAGGGATATTTCAATACTCAGAGGGATTAGCAGGTAACTGGCATGGTTTTGATTGGATTGTTAGCATTATTAACTCCTTGGCTTCAGACCAATTACTGTAAAGACATTCTTCTGTCACACTGTGTTCACAGAGCAAAGTTGAAGACCTACCCCAGAGCTAAGCTGATACTCTGTTTTGGTAATCACTCTCTGCAAAGCAGCTCAGTTTTCCCACAAGCACCAAGATAAAGTGGTGGCTTCCTTCAATTCCTATATATACACCTTCTGATACATGGGAAACACTATCCCCATTAAATAACAATCCTGAAAACTTCCCCAGGCTGTCCACAGTCTCTTCAATTTACCCCATTCTGTATTCCCTGGGGACGTGCTCCTGATAACATTCACTACAGTAGGGACAACTTGTAGAGCACACATGAAATGATGCTCAGGTACTAAGCGCATTCCCATTACCATCAATATGCCACACAGTACTCTGTAGGGAAATAAAATGGAAAATATACAGCAATTCTAAGCATGCTGCAGCTGGCAAAACCTGTGTTCAATGGTGTGTCAAAATGGGGAAAAACTACGCACACTTTCCATCACTGTCACAGTGAGGCAACAGCTAAGGGGACTTTTTTCCCACTAAAATGGCATGATACAACAGGTTGGGAGGAGAAGTGATTCAGAGCAGCCCTGTGGAGAACGACTTGGGGGTGTTGGTCGATGAGAAACTGAACATGACTTCACTGTGTGCTTGCTCACAGCCAAGAAACCACCCATGTGCTGGACTGCATCAAAAGCAGCGTGACCAGCAGGACGAAGGAGGTGGTCCTGCCCTTGTATTCTGCTCTCATGAGACCCCGCTAGGAGTACTGTGTGCAGTTCTGGTGTCCTCAATGTAAGAAGGACATGGAGCTGCTGGAGCAAGTCCAGAGGAGGCCATGAGGATGATCAAGGGCTGGAGCACCTCCTGTACAAAGACAGGCTGAAAAAGTTGGGGCTGCTCAGCCTGGAGAAGAGAAGCTGCATCAAGGCCTCAGAGCAGCTTCCAATATCTGAAGGAGGTTACAAGGACGCTGGAGAGGGACTCTTCATTAGGGACCGTAGTGATAGGGGTGTAGGGGTAATGGGTTCAAACTTAAACAGAGGAAGTTCAGGTTAGATATATGGAAGAAGTTCTTTACTGTGAGGGTGCTGAGGTGCTGGCACAGGTTGCCCAAAGAAGTGGTAAATGCTCCATCCCTGGCAGTGTTCAAGGCCAGGCTGGACAGAGCCTTGGGCAACATGGTCCAGGGGGAGGAGTCCCTTGCCCATGGCAGGGGGGTTGCAACTAGATTATATTAAGGCCCTTTCCAACCCAAACCATTCTATGATTCTACGATTCTATAACTGCAAGACACAACAAAGCTTCTGAGCTTTCAATAAAATGTCTAAGAAAGCAAAAACCATTGTGGGAAGAGATTTTTACTGACTAAGTCAGTTCCTTTCAGCAAATATATTTTTACCTTAAATAGTTGGTTCAGAAATATTTTGGAAATCTCTTCCAAAAGATGAAGAATTTCTATCAAACATTTCACCAGACACTTTTCATTCCTCCCCTTGGTTACAATAATTGTTTTCCACTTTGTTCTCCTGTTTCCATGAAACAAAGAGCACTGCACATTTTTCACAGTTTCTCAGGCCACGTGGGGTACCTGATCTCTGACTCAATCAAGACATACAGGAAGTGTCTCCGACTCACAGCTATCGAACATCTGGATCTCATCAATGTTACATACTGCAAGTCCTTATCAGATGAGACAGATTTATCTCTCAAGCATCTATACCTTCCTTTTTAGTCTTCTGGATGCAGGTGCGCCCTTGTCATTTTACAGCTATTCATGATAGAATTAAACACCTCCTTTCTCCTGTCCAATTATCCAATACTAGATTTCATTAGACAAAGGTGTGGGGTCTTATGAAATGTCCAAACAGCAACACTGCACCTATCAACAGTTGCTCTTTTTTACTTTACAGCAAATGAAGTCCATTTCTCCATAGCTTCTCAAATTCATTTTGTTTTAACCAGAACTTGCAACACCATTAGGAAATACCACTTTCTATAGGTGAACTCTAACTGTGATGAGGGTTAATAACCTCAATACAATTTAGGAAGCCCAGGATGTCTGAAAATCCTGTGAGCTACAAACAACTGTGATCTGACAGCACAGTAGGTAGCTAAGAGGAAAGTTTTCCTGAAAACAGCCCAGAGAGATTATCTACATCAACTCAGAAGTAACAGGGAGCAGATAAGTTGTGAGATGTTCTTTAACCGGAGCCTCAACATTGCAAGCTCAACTCAAATTTTTATCATCTTAATAATTACCTTTGCTCTCCATGTCTCTCTTTGCTCTCCACTTCACTGTTTATTCCCTTCAAGCTGGCCTCCCAAGCTTAGATGCTGTTTTCTACTAAGGGAAAATAGTCTTGCAAAAGCTTCTGCAGTATTAACTGCTCAATCTTCTCTACTGATGTTGCCATTATGTTCTCCTGACCCAACCAAAACTAACTAAGACTACATGTGGAATTGCCTATTACTAGTAATGATCTTTAGAGAATAGAGCTCTGAACAATGTTTTATTCATTTTCAGTGAAATTAGCATGAAATAACATATTTCACAAAAAACAGATGTCAGAAAAGGTTCCATGGGGATTTTTTCAATTGAAGTCAAATCCCAGCACTCCTAATAAACATCTCAAACACTGTGCCAAAGGACATGTCCCTGATTGTGCAGAACCTTGCAGAAGTCCACAGATTCATGGGCTATCTGCCCAGAAACCAAGCAAAATAAGAAACAAAGGAGAGGTACACACTGCAACAAATCCCATGGGAAGTGTCTTTCACCAGAATAACTATGGTGTGTGGATGCATTTCTGCAGTGAGAACTTTACAAAAGCTATAATTAAAGAACACTGTCAGAAAGACCCCAACTTTGTGTGTGTCCACAGGGATCAAGGCAGTCTACTCACCATACCACAGTCATTTGGTTACCTTCCCAAATCTGGCTCCCTCAGCACATCTTGTTCACAGCATGTATTAAAGAGCAGATAGACAGGTTCCTGTTCTCTGGTATGTCTTGATTCAGTGCACTAGTGAATTAGTCTTATCTTTTTGTCCAAGAAATTAGCAGACAAAAATAAAGACTTATTTTTATTTTATTAAATTACTTGCAGTGCCTATTTAGATGGTTACTTTGAATAATGAGAAACAACAGAGGTAGCAGCCTAGGATGATGATGATACTGCTGCAATGTCTCTGCAAAGAGCCCTGGCGTCTTAAATGAGTACTGGCAGTGGTGTGTTTTACTCCTGCAGTACAAAATCGTCTAATAGCTTTTCATAAAATAAAGAAGAGAGACAAAATAATCTTTAATTCTTATCTTACCAAAATTGAACTCTCTCACTTTTCTTCTCCCAGTATTGGCAGCTTCATTAGGTGACTCAGTGTTCTTCGGTCTCTTGTTAGGGGGCAAGTAGTCATCATCATCTTAAAGAAACATAAAAATATCATTGTTTTACTGTCCAGAGAACTCACGTGCAATGTTGGAACTACTTTGAATTTCAGAGCTCTAATACAAGTATTGAACTGCACTTTATCAGGGCATCAAACTTTGCAATGAATTACTCATCTGAGTAATTTTAGAAAGCTACTGGCCTGAGTAGGAACAGCTTGATTAAGAGAGGCAGCACAAATCATAGAATAGCAAAAAGCAAAGCTGCTTCTGTACATCCAAGGGAAGACAATATGGTGTTCTGAAACATGACTGGACATATCATGATCATAAAATGACCACGCAACAGCAAATGACATCAGTAAATAAATTATGTAGACACAGACCAGATTTTTTTACCTAGTTGGAAGTATCCTTCCATTATTAAGTCTTGACAGTAGCCAGGTTTTATCTTGAAGAGTTCAAATATGTTAAAATTGGTTTCAATCCAATGTAAAAAACTGATGTAGATAACTAAAATTTATTTAACAGGTCAGCCCTACCTTAGTAACATACAGACAGAGGGGGGAAAATTGCAAACCCCAGGTATTTTTCCAGTGAGCTGCTACTTAGCCAGTCACTTCCCAATCCAAAACATGATCTTCCCTACCAGCTAATGAGTTTTTAAGACTGTTCAATTACCAATACCTGCAACCTTAGAGAAAATAAATGGTTAAAGCAGATAAAGAAAATTAATTTCACAAATAGAATAACATCTGCCCAGGTCATAGTGTATAGTTTGCTTAGGACAAATAATATTACTTATTGACATCTCTTGCACCTATGCAGTTGTATCATATTCTGTTAGAGAAAACCTTTTCAGAGCATTTTTATTTTTATGGTAAAAGACTTTACATATACACAGCAGTTAATGGCTGTTCTCTTACCACCTTTTCTGTTGAGAGTAAAATAGTTTATGAATTTTACTGCTGGATTACAAAAAGGTGGAAGTAATGCCAAAGTGTCAACTTTGTCCTAAAATGCATTGCCTAATTTCTAAATTGCTAATTTGTCAGTCTTAATCTTACCCATTCCAGAAGTAAGTATTGCAAAAGCCAATCTCAGAAGTGTTTTAAAGCAGTTAAAGGACACGTAATTCACAAACACAAGAAATACAGCTGACTTTCAACCAACATCCTAGCATGAAAAAAACATGGATACTGGGTAGTGGCTTTAGTGCTATTTAGATGAGAAAGAGAGGCAGTAAGTATAAAGGTTTTTATCTTACATTTACCGATATTAGACAAATAAATTGAAGCTTCTCTTATACCACTTGTAACACCATTTCTAGTTTGGTACAATTCTTCCCAGAAGCTAGTGTTAACTAGAAATTTTGCATAAGTACAGTGTGCTTATAAAGCAACATGTTCTTCAGAATGAATGTTGCAACATATTTTTAAAATCTAAACTAATGGATGTTAAATAATGAGTATTCTTCATTACCAGTGCTTGAAATGTATGTGCAAGATGCAAATCTCTGTCATGCGTTTCAAAACCAGCCCAGTAAGTCCAATATGCTTCAGTATATTGTGGTCTTACAAAACTTCTGGACTGGATTAAGTTTACCAAGCATTGCGCAATCCAAACTGGAGTCAACACTGGCACATAATCCTGTTTATACAGTGCCAAGTAATGCAGGCATTTTACAACATGTTTTGGACATAAAAATGCTTAATGGACTGAAATCAGTGAACTGGAGAACTAACCTTCAATGGTGACCTCGACCTCAGGATCCTCACTTGTTTCTGAAGGGACATGCTGGGAGGAATCTGGAGGGGGGAAAAACCAGGACCACTGAATGATGGACACAGAAAAGATTTATAACCAAACCCTCCGTGATTTTGTGTTTAAACTAGCACTTGTCAAGGAAGCCCCTGGCATTCACAGCATGCAACAAAAATAGGAGCAAAGATATTCTACCACAAGCCTTTAAGCAACTCTAGACAAGGGTAAGGATATGGGGATTATACTTGCTAAATTTTGTGTGCAGCAGTGCAGAGTTGGTGTTAATGACAGTAGGAAATTCCTTATTCTTGGCTTAACAGGATTAATACAATTATAAATATTTTTCTCTTTGTTATCAAGGATTACTGAAAATATAAACAAGGCTGCATGCCCTTACAGATGATGTATTTCTTTACCATTTATACTAATGAGTAATTGTTGCACTATAATGATTTCCATAACAGGCTGCAAGGCCAACAGCGAAAAATGAGAGGGAAATTCATGATCACACTGGTTCTTTGGGGCGGTCTGCACCAACGTAATAAACAGGATTAGGCCTATCAATGCGCTGTGGGAGAAAGAGCAGTTTGCACTTTAACAGTAGTAAAGTTTGAAAAAATGAAGCTAATTGCATTGGAAACTATTTCACAACTAAGTAGCAGTGTATGAAGGTACATGTTTAAATTACCCTAGCAGAGTGATGCTGTGCTTGTGCATTTTGAAGAATATCTTCTTTCAGATCTCTGTAAGCTGGAAGTATGATAATACTTTGGGGGCAAGTCTGAAGGAATCTCAGTTTCAAAGGCTCTTACACATGATGTTGTGTATAGTAGAGATTCAGCAGTATCTACTGAGACACCTTAACTGTAGTATATTTGCACTATGTCTAATATATCATCTAGTTCATAGAAAACACAATATGATGTTTTGATCTGAGTGAGTAATAGGGAAGATAACTAGCAAATAAGAAGCACAACAAAAGGAAAGAATAAGGAGGCAATGGTCTTTTAGTAGATATGAACAGAAACTATGGTCATAAAAATTACTATCACATCAACTGATTACTTAGAACTGGTTTTGAGAGCATCAGAAAAGTATAAAAAAAATTGAAGAAATACAACTTCTGGAAATTCAGAAACAGCCACAAAGCCTGGCAAATGAAAATTCCATTTCTATGAAATGGTCCATCTAGTCCAGTAACAAATCCCTGAGAAAGTCATAATTAAGAGAAACGTGTAAATATATCTAAGCAGATGGCAACTAAGTTCTGGAAGAAAACTCCCAGATGGGACATTTCTTCTGAAATCATACTAAACCAACTGGTTTAAACACTAAAGTGAGGTGTTTGGTTTTTAAACGAAGCATTATCATCACTAGGTATTTTTTGCTGCTCTTAAGCAGCAGATGACTTCACAGTTCTAAAAGTTGTCACTCACTGGCACTGCCTCCAGTTTCTTAAATGTGATTTCATTCAGGTTAAACCAATTTATTTTGATGCACATAACCTGATTGCTGAATTTCAGTCACACCATGTCCCCACTCATCCAATGTCACTGAGATCTCAGACACCTTCATCAGTGACCACTAAGCTGCGGGATTCCAGGCACTTGTTAGTTTTGTCACTTCTTTTTTCACCATCTTGTCAAGGTTATTGGAGGGGAAAAACAGTGAAACCCCCCAGTGATATACACCAAAAGATACGTTCATACATCCCTCTATTGTTTTTCTTTGCAGAAAATCATCTCTGCAAATCTTCTGCATCACAGGCTGTAGCTTTCAGGCAAACTTTCGAAGGAACTTTAAATGCTTATTATATGTATTTCTTTAATAATAGAAGAATGGGTGACATGGTCTAGGGTGAGACATCCCTGCCCATAGCAGGGGGGTTGGAGCTAGATGATCTTAAGGTCCTTTCCAGCCCTAACTATTCTATGACATACACCGAAGACTTCATAAAATCCAAACACCGTCATTGATTTTTCTTTCTTACTCATTTTTGTGAGGATCAGCAACAAATAATTTCATTTTACAGAACCCAGACAAGACTTTCTATTTAAACAACAAAAGAAATTTCACTTAGACTGTTACCTGCAATTTTTAGCCACTGCCTATAGACTTTCTCATAAATACTAACCTACGTGAACAAGTTTACTCAGCAAAAACAGTGCAACTTTCAGCACATCTCTTACAGAAACTTGCAAAGAAAAACAGATTTGAAAAAGGGGTGTGTAACAAATCTATGTTCTAACACTCAGAATCTGTAGCTGTAAAGTTCTACATAGTCAAAATCAAATCAAAGTCAGAGTCTTGGCCATTTAGTAAGACACCTTCCTTTCCTCAGGCTCTCTCTTCACAGTCAGGCATAAAGCTCATGGCATTATGCTTAGAAAAACAAAGTACCTAGATTATTTTTTCTCAAATAAGTAGAGTTTGCAGTGCAATCAGCAAAGGCAAAGAACTTTCTCCTTTATCAAGAGAAATGTTTTTAAATTTCATGTAATGGTACCCTTAACTATGGTGATATTTACCTTCAAAGCAAAACTAACGGGATTTGCAAGAAGGAGTATTGCTGCTAGCATAACTTGGCCTTAAATACTCATGACTCAGGTTTTTAAGTTAGGTGCTTAGAACGAAACTGCAGAATGATGTCCTTTTAACATCATGTCAAAACATTAAAGCCAGGTGACAAGCACCTCACAATTTACGATTTAAAAGAATGACAACTCCTATCACAACTTGTTTGTAGTGAGCTGCAGAGTGGCATGATTTGGGAGGTTAAAAGCAAAACAAAACAAAAAACCCCAAAGCCAACCTTGTGGAAATGGGGAAAGAGAATAGTTGGAGATGTATAACTTTAAGGTGCCATCTTTTCAAATATTTCTGTAAAAAAGCATCCAATGACGTTAATTTATTCTCATGAAAAAACATTTTGTATCTCTAACCTTCTACTGGTATTTCCACATCTGTTCCTTCTCTGCAATCGGAACCCTGGTGGCTTCCTTTAGACAAATATAAAGTACAAAACATACCATAATAAAAATAGAAAACGAACTTTTAACATCAACTACTGAAAGTAAGGATTTTCATAAGCAAAAAAAATCCAGAATGATAATGTCCACATGAATAAAATACAGAAGGCTCAATTTCTGAATCTTAAAACTTTTTAAGAGCAGGAGCACTCTGACTTCATAAAGACATTCATAGGTTGAAATACAAATTAGTATTTTCTAGTGTTTGCAGGTGGGCAAACCAGTATTTTTAGTGCAAACTGTAAGAAGCTAAAATAAACGTACAATTTGGGGGCAAATTTATTTAAGCTACTGTTCAGATCCAGTAAGGAACTCCTTACACTAAACACAGACTTTCCATGTACTTTTTTCTCCATGTGTCTGTTCACCTCACACACAGTTGAATGAAACAATCAAGTTGTATTCATAATACATAAGCAGAGGTTTATTAAACCTTATAATCAATTATGAAACAGGCTGAATTTCTTGATAAACATATCATTCCACACAAATTACTAACACTTTAGAGTGATCGACCTGATGTTCCTTTTCCAATTTAAAAAGGAAAGACATGAGATTCCCTTTCTGTATGTCTCTTTACTGGGACACGTGAGAATTAAGGCAATTTAATTTTCCTTTCTGTTGAAGTTTAAGTTCCAGTACTCTAACTCTTACTTCAAATAAAGGAAGGAAAGCCCTCGAAAGTGAAACTCACACATTCAATTTCCAACGCAGATGTGAGAAAAATACAATTAAAAGATCTACCTGTATAACTTTTTGCAAGAGCAATTTTTTCATCCATCTCTGATGTTTCAGAAGGACCTGCTTGCGAACAAAGAGAATATCTGACATCAAACACACTTTTTCAGTCCATAGAGGAATTTGCCAAATAACTCTGAATATATCACATACTTGTTTCATACTTTCTGTAATGTTGAACTTTGGAAAGACTCTGTGAAATATTAAAAGTCTGTAAATCCTTACTTATACAGTCCAACAAAATAAACATCTTGAGGTGTGTGCATTTCTTGACTACTGAACAGTCAGAGATTCATGCAGCACGGGAGGTCTTCAATTTTTTTGGTGTTAATAAACTTACTTAGAACACGAAATGTCTACGGTTCTGCCCTTTTCCAATTATTTTTAATCAGCTAAATCTTCATCCTGTTTATTAAAATTTGTACTCCTAGGGAGTCCTTTTTTACTCTAAAATTTCTACCAACATTAAATAGACAAATTCAGAGAGATTAAAATAATTTCAGAATCTTCAAGGTTGTTTTCTTTTCATCACAGCAGCTCTTTTGAAGGCTACATACCAACTGCTTTAAAGAGGCTGTTGCAGAAAGCAGCACACAAACAACACTTAAAAGATGAAATTAACACCCCTAAAATCCAACTGCTTAATGCTGTGGTGCTCCTGAAGTTACATTGCAAGAGTGAATTATTACAGCACAAATGGCTTCACACTGAGCAGAGGACCATTCTATACCACAAAAATAGCACAGGTATGTAAAACTAACCTGTGTGTAGAACACAGGAATGTCATATTAGGACTAGTTGGAACTGAAGGACAAGTTGCTCTCTGTAAATCAGATCTGAATGAACATTTCTGTGTTCATTTGCAAAAGCAATCTGCATATAGCTCCCCAGAAATTACAGCTCTTCAGACGTAGATGTGTATCGGCAATGAATACAAATAGCTTCACAATATAAAAGCTATTGTTAACTAATAAGGCAAGTGAAATATTTTACACTCCATTTCATATGCACAGTAACCAAGAAAATACTGTCACAATCAGACTTCATAAGGATTTCAACCAACTGGAGACATACACAATACTATGAGTTATTCAAGAAAATGAGTATTTAGGGATTAAACAAAATTGTGACTATTAGGTGGTTACAATAATACTGGTTTGAGATAGCCCTGCCTAATTTGATTACTCAGATTTTCAAAGGAATTTTGAATTAACAGGATTTCAAGTGAGTAACCTATACGAGGATCTTCATTTTCCATTCATTTCTTCACTAAGTGCTGCTTTAATCTGCTCCTGCCCCTTTTTCGTTGCTGAGGGGTGCTTGGATTTTTGTCCTATCTCTCTGTTCAATTCAGAGAAGCAACCTGATTTGGTTCAAAACATTGCTCCAGGAAGAGCAGTACTGACACAGGTGAGACCATAGTCCAAAGATGGGGAAAAGCAGGAGGAGAAAAAGGAGCAGGGCAGAAGGCAGAGGCACTGGTGGTGCTCTAGACCACACGAGAAGAAATTCTTACCCAAATAGTGTGACCTGCAATAGTTATGGGCAAATGGGAACAGAACAGAGCGTACCTGAGTGCGCTGGAAAATATCCCTGTGGACTCAGTTTGCTTTTATTTAAATAAGCATGTTCAATGCATGCAGCCAGCTGGGTATATCATTTCCTAAGAACTCTTCTGAACATGCAATTATTATAATTCATAACGCACTGACACAAAGAAACATGCATCCTATTATAAGCACGTATCTTATAAGCACGTATTTTTGTATTTAACCCTTAATTCTGAAATCCTGTCAGGGTTGGTTTACCTACACATTTGGCAGTATTCTCTATATTGCATTATCTTCATGCCTAATACACGCTGTGACACAAATAAAGGAAAAATAGGAGTCTTTGACACATTCAAACTTAAAGATTTCTCTAGTTAAGAATACACTTCCTCGGTTTGCAGCCCTTGGGATTAAGCACCCCTTCCTCTTTGATGTCAATAAAACTATAGTACATACAGTAGATCCATCAAATTTTTTTAAAAGTGATCCACATGGTTATTTGATGAAACTTCATTTTTTTTCCGTTTTATGAAGCTTTGACAGGAAAAAACAGTATGAAAAAAAACTGTTTCAGAAATTAAATAGTGTAAATTAATATAGTCTGCTACCTTCATTTAGTAAAGACTAGAAAATTCAATTTAAAAGAACTCTGATATTCCTACCACTGGGAGATATTAACAAAAGCAGATACATTTCCACTTCACTGCATTCATGCACGTAACAGGCAGATGCACATAACAGGCAGATACACATACATCACATAATTAAGAAAAGCAAAAACCAATTACAGTGGTAACCAGATCAAAAGAAGTTCCACCTAGGAATAAAAGTATGAGGAAGTCACCAAAAAAAAAGGAAAAAAAAAAAAAAAGACACAAACTCAAGAAAGAAGAACTTAATTCCACTGAAGTAGGTAGGATGGGCACAAAGGTAGGAGATTTAATTACTAAAACCACAGGACACACCAGAAGTAAAATCTTGCAGTATGGTTACATCTTGGAGTTTGAACTTAAGATTGGCAGGCAGAACTAAGCAATATCCCCTTGCATCAGTAAAAGTACCCAGTACACTCTTCTGCTAACAGCCAACTTCACCACACAACACAGACACCAAGAAATTCTGTAACACACTAAAACTTGGTCATTCATGAGCAGATAAATACCTAACAGACCACTGCACCCAAATCATGCAGTTGGGCTGGGATTCTGCAGCGCAGTGAAACCTTTGTAAAAGATAGCTATGGCCAGAAATTGTAAACTTCTGAAATGCCCGTTACAAGCATGTCATTTTTCACATTCTAACAATTCCCTTAAAAACAAGAGTAGACTTGACAGTTTCAGCTATTCCTTCTGCTTACCCACCACAAACCGTTTACTTACACTGAGATCAAATCTCTCAGCCTCAGTTTCTAGTGGATTATGTCCATACAGTCAAATCTGTGCCACTCGGCAGAGGGAATGTAGGTTAATAATCTCATGGATTAGGCAATGCTCACTTTTTGGGTCTTTGTTTTTGGCTGCACATATAGTAACATTATGAACAATATGTAATTATTAGAGTAGTATCAGAACACCTTTAGGAAGCACAACATTGTGCTTTCTTGTCATCTTCATATATTCCCTGGAATTTTTTGGTTTTATGATAGTATCTACATGCAGAGTTTTACCCTATGGTGGTTAGAGTACTGCCAGCCTAGCTTTACAGTTTTAGACCCATTAAAATGGATATTACTTCTAGTATTCTAGGAGATCTTCAGAAGAGAAGTATATTGTTGTTAGAGACATACTAAAAGGCATTCATGAATTTCAACGTTCCAGAGAGAGAATAAAAACACAGTTTACATTCCCATTTTGGGTTTTTTTCCCAGCAGAAGATATTTTTAATCTCATTTGGTTTTGGATGAATGTCCTAGATTTTAACCGCCTCAATAACATTTCCAGAAATTCCAAAACCAAGTGCACTGTTCAACCACAGAGTGTCTTAAAGAGATGCTAGGCAGTTTTCACTCACTTCTAAATTGTTTATAAGCTAAATCAGTCAGTTGATTAGACTGTGGTTTACAAGCTGAACCAGCCAATTCACAGGACGCACTGCATACAGCTCTTTCCTTCCACTTCCTGTTCTCTTGGATTTAACTTCAAGGCATCAGTGGCAACTGAAGACTTGCATCCACAAAACTCACAGGATAACAAGCCTCTTTCAGGAAATGTCTGGCCCTTTGTCAGCATACTACTCAGTTCTGCTTGGGCTCTGTCTCCAAAAAGCCTTCCTTCACTGATGAAGAGGACTGAAGGTGGTACATATCCCCAAGGCATTTTCTTAATGTATTTCTGCTACTTTGTAAAGTGGGGGGTGGAGGGTGAAGAAATAAATATAGCTCTTAATTCTATTCTGTTAATTGATTCAGAGCTGTTCTCATTCTGGCACTGGTATTTTGACCTCCTTTTTTTTTCCATCAAAACTCTTCAAGATAGCCTGGGCCTTATGGACAGCCTTTTAATAAGAAGCCAAAATTCATGTCTGTAACTGTCCAATCCATTTATGCATCAGCTGAACAGCCCCGACTGCACGGAAGCTGGTAGACAAGCTAGGAGGATTTATAGGCACAAGGATGTACTTGCATTAACCAGTACAGAACACATGCCCTCTACTTGGCTTTGGGATCAGGCCTTGAACACACCCAGCTGGTCTGGAGCTCTGGCAAAACACATCAATGCTATCCCTCTGCAACAGCCATAGAAACAGATCTATTCCTACAGCACAGTAATATGCTTAATCTAATAGTACAAACCACAGTTCAAGGACCAAGCCACATTTCAAAAACTAACCTAAGAAACAGCATTTTAACTAATGTTTCATTCCATAAAAGCTGTAACTGGTACTTACAGATAAGGTACATGCAGGAGTATTAACTGTGATAGCTGGAATGCTCTAGTATGCATTATTTAGTTCTGCAGATCTCTGCTCAGTCCTTTTTCTCACCTAGTCAACAGTCAAAATCTGGGGCCTTTCTTCCACAAGAGGCTGTCTTTGGTGTCAGAAAAAGCATTTAACACTTCAGTGACCCTCACATTTGCCCAGGATACTGGAAAAAACCACCCACTGCCACTACTAGTGATAGTGCCCACTAGTGGAAAACTGCCCTAATACGCTCAGTCAAAACACCCACATGAAGTTTTTGATGTCTAAAGTCCCTATTTCTCAGTCTTCTTATTGTGTACTACTAAAACATTTCTATATCTAGTAATTCAGGATTAACTCATGGCAACATCTGAATGGTGCAACCTACTACAAGATAATAAGAGCTTAAAAGAACGTCCACCTACAGGTATAATTTTCCCCCTGTTTGATTAACAGGAGAATTCTGTGTGCCACTCAGGCAGAGTACTTTGGTCAGCATTTCAGACCTGTGAGAGGAAGCAAATACTCAGAGAAAAAAAAAAAACAAAAAACTGTGAAATGTCATCAGTAGATCATTTTCTCCTGGAAGCCCCAAGTAGATTGCTGCTCTCTTAACATTTAAGTGGTTTCTTCTCACAGATCGATAAGCCCAGCTTTTGCTGGAGGGTATTTTTAGTAAGAACTATGACCCTAGCCATTTTCTTTATTTTGTAGCACGTCTCTACAAAGGCAATGTTTGGGCAGATTTGCGTCATTTCCAAGGATAACTGTACTTTTCTAAGGTTCACTTCTCTGCACAGCACCATCGTACACACAAACCCCTCATTGCTCTTGAATTTATAGCTGTACAACCTTTAGCTTGAATCAGAGTGGTAGCATCTCGAAGAAATGAAGGTGAAGCTGCTTTACTGCAGGGAAGGCAGCTTGACTTGACATAACATCTCTTTTTAGCTCACAGCACCCCATTACTTTTACCAATATACTCAGTTTCATCTCGTTTTTAAATGCAAGTTTGGAGGACTACGCTGGGAGGAAGAAAGGGGGAGTTATTAAGAGAGCACCATTTTATTTGAACGAGATCCAAATTGCTCTTCGCCAATCAGAAGATTTAAATTTAGAGTTCTCCAAAAGACAAGAGAATTTTTTTCCCCCCACTGCGTAGACTTCACTATGGAAGCATGTTGTATAAATGGGATTTTTTTAGCTCAGACAAACACGCTGCAGTACAACGGGTAACTATTTTGTAAGGAAGTGATTTCAGGACAGACTCTTTTCAAATGGCACTGGATTACACTTTGGGCTATTGGCCAAATTCTGACATTGTTTTTATGCATGAAACAGAAAAAGCCACAAGGGGCTGAAAAGCAAAAAGATGACAGGACTCGGTTTGGAAGGAACAACATTTAGGTTGTCTCCAAAAACATACCTATTTTTACTACCTTGTATCATGCCTGTAAACCCCCCATCCCCTGAGCCTAGACAAGAAGAAAAGATAATCTTAATGCCAGAGAATTCACCTTCTGTTTCTCAACTTGAGTGGTGACATTTTGCTGTGCAGTATGAAGATCTCCCTGAACAGTGCTCGTACACTATTTGAGATGTGCCAGTATGACAATATTGATTCTACAGTCCTGTAGTTAGTTATCAAAGCACATTAGGAAATAGTTTCAAGAATCTTTGCATCTAAACATGCACAAAACATTATCTCAATAAAACAGAATACTACAAAATGAAAGGATGTGCAGTTTTGCACTTCACTGATGAACATGCAGCTATCCTTCAGAGATGCGTGGCAGTTTGCCTGCGTTCCTTTGCATTGCTTAATTAACCTAATGGCAACTGCAAATAGGCTGAAATAATAAACTTAGGGTTCTAGTTATTTTATATTGCCATTTATAATCACAACTTCTTAATTACTGTTCATGTCAACCTACAGAAACACTGATTTTTTTTTTTCCCCACTCCTTCTTGAGGTTACCATGCAGTATTAATTGGGTATGTAGAGATGAAGCAAAGCAACTAAGAGATACCCTAAAGCATACAGAGAGCCCCCAGTCATAGGCCTCAGGAATGTTGTTATGCTTTGTCTAAATAAACCTTTCAATAATTTTAACACATATTGGTCATTCCATTCAAGAAAACTGATGAATACACTATGAAAGTTACTGAAACTTCAAAAACAAATATAAGATTCAATCAGTGCTCTACACAGCATTGTTATAATGGTTTATTTCCTATTCAAAGAGGTCACTGAAAAACCACAAGCAGTTCAAAAGACTCCGGGAACTTCTTCAGAGCAAGCACACACATATGGTTATGCTCGTATACTTCAGCTCTTCTGGTATTCAGAATAACTTAAGTGATAGCCAGCATGGAAATGTTGTATCCTAACAAAGTAATTGCATGTTTAATGACCAAGAATAAATAAGAAGAGAGGCACAGAGAGAGAAATACTTAAGCAATCAACACTTTCATGAGATAAACACATATGAAAGCTAGTATCTTTACCTGGAATATTATATTGATAGTAATCAGGATCATCTGATTCCTCCTTCACTGTTACCGTTGACATTTCCAGAGAAATTCCTGTAGAAGCAACAAAAGAATCAAATATGGAAACTAATAACAATCAGATTCTTAAAAACCAAACAAAACACCCACCAAGATCCTAGTTGGTCTCTATTCAAAAAAAGAAAAGAAAAATAAAGATCAGGTTCTGAGACACCAAACAACTGTTGAGCTAAAACAATGGTGACAAAGTGACCTGCTGGTTTATTACGTTTCAGTTTGGTCACTGTCAGAAGGGATTCAGTATTAAATGGTTCCCTTCAAAGTAGGCATTCTTGCAAATGCTATCTGTAATCAAATATATTTTATCATTTGTGCTAACAGTACTTGTAGAACTACTCCGCTCACTCGTCTGCACAGCCAAGTTGGAATACATCCTGCATCAAACTGTGCTGCTGATGGAGCAATACCAAAAGTGCTCAACTGCTCTTTGCTTCCTTCACGCGAAACATCCCCTCCATAAGCCTTCACAGCATTCCTTAAAATGCTTTCAAAACATTCTGACAAAAGGACAATTACTTAAAATGCCTAGAAACCAGCACTGGAAAGAGTCTGGGACTGACTTAACAAAAAGCTCAAGTTAACTCTTTGCGTTGAGCTAAATGTTAACCATGAAGGGTTCCCAAACCACAAGTTTAAAGTTGTGAAGCATAAAGAACTCGAGCAAAGAAATGGACTAAAAAACTCCATTCTTATACAAAATGCTGAGCAGTGTAGCCTGACCCAACAAAAGGAAAAGTCATCAGCTTATTTCTAAGCACACCTGTGTCTCATTGGCTTTAAAGGGATTATTCATGCCTCTATGTCAAAGCAGATGCTTGAGCATTGCTCCACTGAGGATGATGGTGCCTGCAGGATCATGTCTTACCTGCAGGAAATTTAGGAATGCTTGGGCTTTTTTAAGAGAAAATAACCTGTTTTGCTATTTCTTATTTATTTGTTCATTTCCATTTTAGCTAGAAAAAGGAAATTCTGTAATTTTCAGTGTTCTAGTAATATTAACAAATAAACCAAGATTTTATCTCCCCATTATGGACAAAGTAATCTTGAATTAGAACAAAATAAAACTTATGACTTTCTTCTTCTCTACTTAAAATTGAAGTATTTACAAAGATAAACTGGTTTAGTCCACAAAATTTTACAGATCTCCCACTTCCAGAAATGGAAACATTTGGCCAAGGCTCAATACTTGATAAAACTCCAACTGAAAAGTGGACAGTTTTAAGGAAAGAAAAGTTTTAACTTGTCACAAAGGATGGTTCTTTACTGCTTTTTCCTTAAAGCTTCCTGTATTTGCTTAACTTCAGCCTTCTGAACAGAAACTGACAATTTTTGGAAAATAAGGGCAAAATGTTGAACATACCAGAATCCTCGTTTGGTTCCGTTTTCACTTTAACAGGAGTACAACTGAAAAATACACAAAGCAAGCACACTGACATTATAAAAACCAAGTATCACACTTCTGGAAAGTTCCTCAAGCTTTATAGGCTGTCAAGTAAAATCAATCTCCCAGTATTTTTTCCCAAATCGGAACACAAAAGTAAAAATTCCTGCATTTCGGTTTATCTGATTTATCTCAAGGGAATTGCCAGGAATGTCCTATCCCTGCATTTCTGGGACATATACAATATTCAAAGCACATTTACCATTTAATACGAAGCAAACTCAGAAGCACAGCAAACCAATCCCTGTTTTTACATTAACCAATTTTTTATTTCAGACATAATCTCCTCATTTACTAACAAAAAAAAAATTTGAGGATTTTTTTAATTAAGGGGAAGGAAGCAACCTTACAACCTTTCCCCATTGCTGCCATATCATAAACCATAACAAACTTATCCCTGACTGACAGACTGTGAATTAAGAACACTCACTGGGCTAATTAAACCAAAGGGAAACTTTGCCATCTGTTTAATTTGTAACAGTTTCCCCACAAATAATGGTCAAAAGAAAGAGAAAATTCAGATTCATGCTTTTTATAATCCCAGGCAAGCAGAAATTATCCAAAGGTCAGCTGGACAGAAAAGGCACATTAAGAGAAAGATAAACTGTATGAAAATACACAGGTGATATAAAAAACCTCCATAATTTTAAATTCACCTTCCACCTGGAGGTATAATTGATTGTGAAGGATCTGCCATAGGAGCTCCTGAAAGTTAAAAGACAATCTTTGAATTTCCTGCACTCCATTTACCTTAAATACAAATTGAAAATGTAATACTGATTTCATGAAGGGAAAACCTGTTTACATTTCACAAGCATATGTGCTTCTTTTCTGTATTCACAGATATGAGAGAAGGATCTTGTTAAACTGCTTTATTAATCTATAAAGCAACACCAGTATAAAGTTACTTCAAATGTACATTTCATGATGCTTTTCACTGCTCCTTTTCATGATGGTAGGTGAAAATTTGGGGAAAAAAGGTAAACAAATCTTTTACCTAAACAGTGCTAAAACAGGTAGTTCAATAGATGTTTGGCTTAGTCCTAAATTACAGCTAGACACTAATAGCTCATGCTTTCAGAATGTCATCTAACTCACTGAAAACTTGTCCTGCATTTTTAATAGAAATATATTATTACCAGAATCCCTGTGATTACCCACTCTCTATTCTTTTTACTGGGCACAGGCAACACACTTCTAATTTTACCAAGCCAGCATCAACTTCTGGATGTGTCCCCTGAGACAGTGAAATTTTTCTTTTTTGACTACATTCCTACAGAGACTCCATCCTCTTCATAAAACAAATCCTCACATATACAAATTTTGCAAGTAAACAACATGATCCCATGAAAGGAACAGGGATTTCTTCTAAGCCAAACGTGAATCTTTGTGTAATTTCAAAACACTCGCTCTAGCTCAGTTTTTCTCATCTACAGAGGCTCTCATAGGAACTACACCACCTCACCACTTCAGAATATCAGATCAATGTTTAACATGAGGTATTAATCAGCTCTGTATAGGAACACAGAGCACTGCAAAGTCTTGGAATCTTCTAAAAATGCAATACAGTCCTTCATTAGTTCACTTCTCCTTTCCCTAGGATACTATACAATTCACATTAAATTCAAATCCAGCAAAAGAACGAAGAATACAATAGAACAAAGTTTATCTCTAATTAATTGCTCCTGGCAAAACGCATAAAGGAAAAGGTTATAGTTCCATAAGGAAGGCAACTCACATTCTAGGAATTTCTGCACAGCTTGCCACTTTATCGACACAACTAAATCTTGTATCTATATTGCTATCTAAACTAAAATTCTGAGTTCTATTTAGTCTGAGTAAGCAGTAACTTACCTAGGTGTTTCTTTGGCTCTAGGAAAGGCCTGTGTAGAAATACAGAGAGAAAACCCCATAATTTTAGCAAAGACATCATAACTTACTTGGTAGTGTTACATTAAAAAGAGAGCACTCCTGTTTAAGAGAAACAAGCTGCAATGTATTTCGTTAAAGACTAAAATTAACTGGACTTAAGGGCAAAACCAGAATGGAAAGACTAGCACAAGAGAGAGCAAATAACCTTTTAATGATAAATGAGATTCCTGACTTGTTTTCCAAAATCCATTTGAGGGTTGAAACATCATAATTTGCTGGATGTTTAAATGCAAGTCCTTCGGGCAGGCCCTGCACTACCACAGCAGACTGGTCCCTCTGAATCTTCTCATATGGCACAGGTACCACCGTTGACTTTCCTAAAGCTTTACCTAGAGAACAAAATTAAAAAGAGATTGTTCTGAGGTCAAGA